ATCATTCAGACAAAACTTTGCTTCAAGAATGAGCCACACTGCTGACATGATCTAATCACTAGCACACCCTGAGCACATGTGAGTTAACATATTCCTCTTATTGGCAAGACATATCGGCATAATTTTTCATATCGGGCCGATGTCGATATTTACATTTAAAGCCAATATCGGCCGATTCCGATATCAGTCCGATAATATCGTGCATCCCTATTTATAATATTGTATTGATACGATTTATAATATTGTATCGGCTAAAGTCATAATCGAAGTAAACAGAAATCGAATTAAGACATGTGGAGCAGTGTTGCCAACTGCTTTCAATTGAAAGTAGCTAAAACTGGTAGCTAAATGCGACAGGATACACACATGGCAGTGGTCAACCGTTTGACGGCAAATAAAAGAGCTTCAACACTGCCATCATCTGTATGCAAGTACAAATAATTAACTTCATTTGAAGCTTTCATAAAATTAAAAATGAAACACCCAAAACATCATGTACATGGCATCATCACGAAGACGAACTATATGATTATGCGTGAAGTTACGGAGGGGACGTCGGATGGCGTCACGTGGGACGTAATGACGTGTGCCATTAATCGAACTATGTACTATAACACGTAGGGGAACATGAAAGGAATATTCTAAAAGCCACTCATGTAAACACCATAATCATAATATTGGTTTATTTAGAATAAGGTAAATAATTAGATTACTGATGTCCATGTAAACGTAGTCACTGATGCAGTGCAGTAGGTCTAATGCTTCTTTCATTCATAACTCACACTGAATGTTTTCTTTCTATGGCAGCGTAACCCATATGACCATGGCTGTGTCTATGACAGGATGAAAAAGTGGACCAGAAGTGGGGCAAGAGATAAAGATATATATGTTAACTTTCAGATAGTGAGAGCTCATGAAAAACAGAAACAAAAGAGATGAGATACTACCATTCTACAGAGTTAAAACTGAAAAAACTGGAACTAGTTGAAAAACTAGCTGTAGCCGAACAGCAGAAACCATAAAACATAAACCAAACACCAGTGCCAAGAAATGCTTTTGCACCTGAATACTAATGGATGGATCAGAGGGGAAATTCCTAATAATGCAGAAGATTAATGGAGCCATGCATATAATTTGTCATCTGATGAACCACTACCACCATCATCGTCATCTTCATCATTACATTAACCTTTCAAGCCTGGCCCAGAACCCACATTACATGGTATTTCATTGCGTAATGGTGCTGGATGTTGGCTGCTCATGACCACATTGTGGAAAATGTCTTCTCTGCTCCTCTGTGAAGTCAGTTTGAGAGGTAATCTTCTTAAGAAGCTTTCTGGACTGTATCAAAGCCAGATATAAGCCAAGCACAGTCGCTCTGAGCAGACACCGAAGCAACACTTTAGTTTGAGTGACTCTAATTAACAAATGATTGGACCTCAGAGAGCTTTTGAGTGGATGAATCTTCTCAAAATCACATCCTTGTCTCGTGTCTCAGTTTGGGTCCGAATGCTTTCTCTCCGCAGAAATGGAAGTACCAGCCTCACGAATGAAAACCAGGATACGAAGGCTCCATTGTTCATAGGTGAACTGACAATGCTCAGCTTACAGGCGGAATATGATTTGCTTTATGAGACATAATGACTTTAAATGATTAAGATCATTCAAAAGTTCAGATGTGACATTTGAGCACAGAGCACTTAACATGTACAGGAATAAAATGAATCACATGTTGATGCATCTACAAATCAAAAATTATGCTTGGTACTCTAAAAGAGATGGGATTTGGCCTCATGACACTGTATTATGCCTGTATGATGTTGTTGGAGATATATGTTCTTTAAGACTCGTATAAAGAAATTAACATTTAATGTTGACTTTTTGCTTTTCTTTTTTATATACTATTTAAGGAACAACTCTTAAGGGAAAAAATATATATTACATCTAAAGTTTGGAATCAGTACGTTGTTTTTTATTCATTAAATTGATCAAAAATGACAGTAAATACATTTATATTACAAAACATTTCTAGCCTATTTCAAATTAATGCGGTTCATTTTAACTTTCTTTAAAAAGCATGGTTCCACAATAATATTAAACAGAACTTATTTCAATACCCAGCAAGCCTAGAAAGAAATTAAACCAAACACCTTGTAAACGCTGTTGACTTTGCTTATATGATGGAATATCATACATCTCACAATTATTTTGCCAAAAAACGACATTAAACAAAATTCAAGGTTATTTGGGCTAGAAGTGGGTTACACATAGCTGGACTATATCGAGTCTATACTTAACCGAGGCGTTGAAATGACAGCTATTGCTTGTTGGGTATTGATGGTGATAAAAATTTTTAAATCTGCAGTACGTAACTTTTGCCTCTCTATCGCCATCTCTGTTTGAAACATTAAGATGCAAGTTACTCGCGGACTTTCTTTTGTTTTGTTTTTATACGTGGGTTATGCTTCTGCACTACTGCGCAGATGAATATGTGATGGCGACATCAGAGCGGATCTCTTGGATACCCATCTGAATCAAGCGAACAAGTGCTCTAATGATAGTGAGCTACCTATTGAGTCACTGAACTGTCTTACCTGTTCAGCAGGTCATTCTTTAATCCCTTCACATCTTGGAGTTGTCGCCACTTCTCAAAAGCCATGCCGATATTTACTCTCGTTTTAGTACAGGCCTCTGTCGCTTTCTCTTTTTGACTGCTGACTTTCCGCGGTTTGAGGTTTCTTAGTTTTGAATCCCCAAATGACAACGATGATTGCTGTTTAGAACTCTATCGATTAAAAGCAGCCATCGGGATGACAAGTTCAGATTCTAAGCAACTGTTCTGAGAACACGCTACAAACGTTCCACACACGCCTTGTAGTCTTTTTCTTCTGTTTACAGACGTGACGTATCCACGTAAAGACAAATAGCGTCAATTTCCCGCAAAATCAGACACTACACCTCAAATAATTAATCAATAGTATAAGCTTACCTTTGCGAATTGAAGTAAGAGGACAGTTTTGAACACTAATGTCTTATACTTACTAATAACCGATTTTTGTTCATTTTTAACCAGAAAAGTTACATATTGCCGCTTTAAGCACTAAATCAACATATTAGATTGATTAAAATATTGGATTTACTATAATTTATTACTATTAATGTTACATTTATGATGTGTTACAATTGCTTTCTATTTCAAATAAATGCTGTTCTTTTGAACTTTATTCATCCTGAAAGTAGGCCTACAAATTCTGTTTTCCACAATAATATTTAGCAGCACAACTGTTTTCAACATCGATAAGATTTTTTTTCCATACTGTTATTGCCTCATGTTTCACCAAATCAGCATTTTAAAATGATTTCTGAAGGATCATGTCACACTGAAGAACTGGAGTAATGATGCTGAAAATTCAGCTTTGCCATCATAAATAAACTACATTTTAAAATATATTTAAAAAGAAAACAGTTCATTGTACTTGTAATAATATTTCTTAATATTACTGTTTTAACTGTAGTTTTTGATCAAATAACTGCTTGTTTTATATACATACATTATGTAGGCTATTATATACATTCATTTTTTGGTGAATTATTTCTTTATTGCGGCTGCATATACAGTATTCAGGGGATACTGTAAAGTCCATTCAGTTTATTTTACTCAGTAAACATTGACATATCCACACAGGACAAAATACTTAATGCCTTAAAATAAAACATGGATAAAAAAACAACAACAACAACATACAATTACAAATAAGCGTACACACACAAACTGAAACCTGTGTAAATGCTTTAACACAACCAGAAAGACATTGTACAAGAAATGATTCCTGAAAAAAACAAAACCAAGGAAATTTCTAAGTAATGTTCATAGCCGGCAAGGTTTGAAATATAATGGATTTAAAGTGTTTGACTAAATAACCACTAGAAATCCCCTTAGAAAAGGGCATTCACTTTTTCAAGTAATTTTTAAATGAAAAACAACACACATTGTAATAAAACAGAGGTTCATTCACATTCAAGTTCTACTAAATGCTGACTAGAACGATTTCTGAGTAAATAATTACATGTGGAAA